GTACGGACTACTTTTACGCAAACGCAAATTACAACTGCAAATTTCATCAGCACATCACATTGGCATAAAATTACATTACTACATGCCCGGATAACAGAGAAAATTAAGCATGAAATTTGCAGTTGTAATTTGCGTTTGCGTAAAAGTAGGCCGTACGGCAATTGTCATATCTTAGCGGGAATTTGAGTTATATTTAAACCGATAACTGCATTGAAAAAATAGCATATTACATTGCATAAAATTAGATTACTACATACCCAGATGACTGAGAAAATTAAGCATGAAAGTTGCAGCATATCCGCGTTTTATCCTTATATCAAGCGTTACGAAGGTTTGAAAAACCCAGCATTTCCACACATTATTAGCACTGATGAAGATCCGGGCTTACGGATATGATCGAAAGCTTTGCAGTAATAAATTTACGTGGTGTTTCCACAAACAAAAACAATTACATTTCCACATGTATTTTATCAACTTTTCGCGGACAATTTATTACGATTAATAATAGTCTTTTATAATATATCCTAATATATCCCTTGCAACAAAACGCGGATTTGATTTTAAAATTGAGTTTCGCGTCAAATGAAGCCGCCCCCCCCCCCGTCCATCTGCCTGTCCTCCCGTCCATCCGCCTGTTTTCCCCGTCCATCCGCCTCTTCCCCCCGTCCGTCCGTCCGTATCCGCATTTACATTTCCGTCCGTTTCGTTTCGGTCGTTTCGTTTCGGTCGTTTCGTTTCGGTCGTTTCGTTTCGGTTGTTTCGTTTCGGTTGTTTCGTTTCGGTCGTTTCGGTGGTTTCGATGGTTTCGGCCGTTTCGTTTCGTTCGTTTCGTTTCGACGTTTCGCCTTTTAGTACATGCCGGATATTAGGGATATACTTTATTAAAACGGGCTAACAACTGCAGCAACAATGAAATTCTCAATCGTACCACGAAGAAGGCGATGTAGCTCAGAAAACAACGCCGGTAGGACCTGATATTAAAAATAAGACTTTTGCCGGCGAAGCCAGTTGGCAGAACATCTTGGCTGTCAACAACAAACTAGTCATCTATTCGAAAGTTTGTTGTTGACAGCCAAGATGTTCTGCCAACTGGCTTCGCCGGCAAAAGTCTTATTTTTAATATCAGGTCCTACCGGCGTTGTTTTCTGAGCTACATCGCCTTCTTCGTGGTATGATTGAGAATTTAATTGTTGCTGTTATTAGCCCGTTAGTCGTTAGAGTATATCCGCGTCCAGCAAGTTGAGACCTTGAGAAAGCTTGGTAGTCAAGCCGTGCACAGAACTGACTAATTAAATCTTTGTTTGCTGTTCGCCTGTTCGGTTAAATAGAGAAACTGACTCTTAATTATATAAAAGTACTTTGAATTTTTAAGTTTAATTAAAAAGCAAAATGCTCTGCGGACATGTTCATGAGAATATAAATTTTTTGTGTAACGAAATCTACAACACTTGTCAATCATATTGCATGTGTATCTAAAAATAACATGTGGGCGTCCCACGGTCTAGACAGGTTTTGTGTCAGGCCCTATTTCAAATTAGGGCCTGAACTTCAGGTTAC